TAAAGATTTATAACCTCAGAAACCCTATGCAGGGTCACTATGAGTCAGAACTGGCTCCATGCCACACCACCACCACCACCAGTAATCTTATAGGACAAGGTAGAATTGCTCCACAGGATTTCCAAGGCTGTAAATCTTCAGAGAAGCAGACTGCCACATCTCCCTGCCTCTAGCTCTCCACTCGTTGTGTGTGGAGCAGTGGTGGAGCCAGCCTTTTCATTAGTAGCTGAGCCCTTTAACCACGGCACTGCCAAGGTTCCTTTCTTATATAAAGACTAAAGAAGAACCAGATGCAATCACTTGAACTCACCTACAAGTGAGTTCACATTCACAGATCATGTTTCACAACCCTGGAACTACCTATACCTAATAAAAGGCCAATGTTCTCTTAACATACATGGTATCTAATCAACTACAGGAGGGCTTCAAAGTGTTCATGGAAAAATTCCACTATCTTTTAGCTCTTTTTTTCCATGAACTTTTAGAAGCTCCCTCATAGTCTTAAAAGCTTACTTCTTCCTCACTAATTTTCCAAATGTCTCTCAAAAACAGTTGTCTTCAAGTACCCATCACGGTGATCCCACATGTGTCAGAGTGAAATATGCTCCACAGGGTTTTCAATGGCTGATTTCTAGAACGGAGATTGAAAGGCCTTTCTTCCAAGATGACTCTATGTGAAACCTCCAACCTTCAGGTTAGCAGCGAAGCACATGAATCATTTCTACAACCTTTTGCACTAATGCCCCCATTTTCCTGTCATGTAGCCTTTCGAGTCCTGGTGTAGCACTGTAAACACAAGACTGCTAAACACAAGGATGGCGGTTCAAAATCAACTCAATAACCCTATACACGTTTGCTATGAGTTGGAATTGATTCAGTAGCACTTAACAACAGCAAGCCTTCTTTGTCTCTGTTGTTTTACGTGCCTGGGTTCAATCAATCCTGACTCAGAGTTCCCTTTGCACAACAGAACAAACCACTGCCCGATCCTGTGCCATCTTCAAAATTGTTACATGTGAGTCCATTGCTGCTGCCACGTGCCAATCCATCTCGTTGGGGATCTACTTCTTTTTCACTGACTATCCACTTTACCTAGCATGATGTCCTTTCTCTAGGGACTGATACCTCCAGACATGTCCAAATTTACAAAAGACAAAGTCTTGCCAACCTTGCTTCTAAGAAGCATTCTGATGTACTTGTTTCAAAACATATCTGTTTGTTCTTCTGACATCCATGATACTATTCTACATTCATCTCTAACACCATAATTCAAATTCAAAGATTCTTCACTGGTCTTTATTGGTCATTGTCCAATTTTCACATGCTTATGAGATGACTGAAAGTACCATAGCTTGGGTCAGGGGTACCTTAGTCCTCAAACTGACACTTTAAAAAAGTCCTTTGTAGCAGATTTGCCTAATGAAATAGGTCGTTTGCTGCTTCACCTTAACTCGCATATGAGTAATTCATGGTCTTTTCTACAGTCTGCCCCTGGCCTTGTTTAGCTGATGGTTGAGCTTCTCCACCATCTCTTCCCACAGATGTAGTCAATCTGATTCTTGTGTATTCCATCTGGTGAGACCCATGTGTATATTAACCTTTTATGTGGCTGAAATAAAGTATTCGCTATGAGTAAGTTGTTGATCTAGCAAAATTCTATCATGTTATCTCCAGTATCATTTCTATCACTAAGGTCTTATTTTCCAACTACTGATCCTCCCTCTTTATTTCCAACTTTTGCATTCCAATCACTGGTAATTATCAATACATCTTGAATAAATGCTTCATCAATTTCAGACTGAAGAAATGGATAGAATTCTTTAATTCATCATTACTGGTTTTAAAGGTTGGTGCGTAAATTTGAAATAATATGGGCATTAATTGATCTTCCTTGTAGGCTTATAGATATTATCCTATCACAGACAGCATTGCATTTCAAAACAGATCTTGAAATGTTCTTTTTGACTATGAATGTGATGCCATTCCTCTTCAATCTGATGTTCCTAGCATAGTAAACCATTCAAAATGGTCAATATCAGGCTAATATAAATAATGCCTAGGATATCGATCTTCATGCATTCTACTTCATTTTTGAGAAGTTGAATTTTTCCTAGAGTCATACTTCATCCATTCCATGTTATGATTATTAACGGATGTTTGCAGCTGTTTCTCCACATTTTGAGTTGTGCCCCATCAGCAAATGAAGGTTCCTGAAAGCTTTGCTCAATTCATATCAACATGGTCAAACTCTACCTTGAAAAGGCAGTTCTTTCCACATCTTATTTTGAATGCTTCCAACCTGAGGGCTTGAGCTGCCAGCACTCTATCTGACAGTGTTTTCTGCTACTATTCACAATGTTTTCTTCTTCTGGTATGGTATCTGACATGTCCCGCTCCTACTCATAATATTTTCAATGGATAGACACTGAGAAGTGAAAAAAAAACCTGTAAAATCAGGGTTCTATTAAGTTGGTGGTTTGTCTCTCTACTCGAGCTGTACTCTTCTTTCCCAACCTTGTTCCATGGCTATGTTTTAGGCGTTTAATACACCCTTTTCAGTTGTTAGCTTTCTAGTTTATATATGTTCAAAATTAAATAACAGTGAATTCAGAGTGAATGCCAAGCCTTACGCTATACACCTTATGTGAATGATCAAATTTAAACTGCAGAACAGCCCTGTAAGAGAAGCACTATTATTATCCTCATTTTACAGCTAGAAAAACTAAATTTTACAACTGTTCAGAGGTTTGTCAAAGAAATCTGACTCAAGAGCCTAACTTTAAAGAGTTCATGAAAAAAATCCATTATCTTTTCATTTCATTTTTTCACAAACTTCTTTAAGCCCCTTGTACAAACAGAACATTCAAGGCTATTATGATATACCCCTAATTACTAATCTAATAATCAGTGCAAACTCTTGCCATTAATTTCCTAAAGTCTACATGCTGTTTCTGAATCCACAGTCTTAGACCAAGTGTGTCCTATTTTTTCTTCTCTTCATGGAAAACGCCCATTCAATCTTCCCCTAGGGAACTTTCTCTAAGTTCACCTCCTTCCCCTCCCCAAGAATTATTTGAGCTGCACTGTATGGTCCCACAGCATGTAGACAAGATCTCCAGAGCAGCACTTATGTATTCTATTAAAATGCCATAAAATCAAACAGGGTGAAGGAAGTGTTTTACTGATATTGCATATCTAGCACTTTCAGGGGTGTACTCTTATTTTAAACAACTGGCCCTGCATTTCTGTTCCGAAACTTTATTATGTTGTTGCTGTTCAATGCCATCGAGTTGGTTTCAACTCATAGGGATCCTGTAAAAGGTTTCCAAGGAGTGGCTGCTGGGTTTGCCGTGCTTATCCTACAGTGCCACCCCAGGACTCTGAAATGTTATTATGGGAGACATAAATTTCATCAGAGTAATGGTGAAATCTTTTAAAAGTATTCTAAGGAAGGGATGATTCGAAACAGGATTAAATGCCTATATAGAAGTATCCTGGATTTTTGTTCCTTGAATTATATTATCTTTCCCTTAATCTCCCTACAGTTAATTTTCATATTACTCTAGGCTTTGGAGGAAGTATTTGATTTCATATGAGAAATTAAAGACTAAATTTAAATACAGGATACAGTATATAAATAGATGTATATGTGCACACACACAACTTCATTATAGTATACATATAGTATACATTATAGTATACATTATAGTATACATATAGTATACATTATAGTATACATTATAGTATACATATGGGAATACTCTAGTATAAGTACTTTACTGCAAACCACAGGATTGGCAGTTCAAGCCCACCAGCCACTCCATGATAGACAGATGAGGCTTTCTGCTCCCACTAAAGCCTCAGAAACCCTAAACAAGGTCACTGTGAATCATGGCCAACTCGATGGGACTTAAGAACAAGCCATATTATAGTATACACAGATAAAGAATCTGAGTATGGTGCTGTGGGTTAATGTACTGAACTGCGAAGTTGATGGATTAAGCTCACCAGCCCCTCCTTGAAAACCCCAGAGTCACTAGGAATCAAAATCGACTCAACGGCACTTAACAACAACATACACATATACATAAAATAATAAACTGTGTGTATAGAGCAAGAGTGCTGGTGTGGTGCTATAGGACAAGCACTGAACTGCTAACCACAAGGTCAGCGGTTCAAACACACCAGCTTCTCCTCAGAAATGTTTTATAGGGTCACAATGACTCAGAACCAAGTCAGTGGCACTTAACAATGACAACATATATGCACGCATAAATGTATTAACAATGTATAGGAATTTTATCCAAAGCTTACCACATGGCTGGCAGAAATTACAGGATAAAAGTCCTTAGCCCTTCTCTTTTTTTGCATCCTATTAATAGAATCCAGATTTTACATGTTCTTTTTCACCTCTGGGTAAGTTTATCTAATTCTCAGTCCCTATTGGTCTCCTCTCTTCAGGGCAGGAGGAATCCTGGTATAAAATGAAGTAAGCACTGGGCTGCTATGTGAACAGTTCAAGCCCATCAGTTGCTCTGTGAGAGAAATGTGAGGCTGTGTGCTCCCATAAAGATTTCCAGTCTCAGAAATCATGAGGAGTAGTTCTACTCTGTTCTAAGGCATAGGAATTGACTCGATGGCTGTGAATTTGTTTGGATTGTGTTCTCTAGTGCAGAGTTAATAAAGAAATTTGAATTATTTAGAATTCCAAGGTATTTAATAAAATGAGAGCTGGGAGAAGAGGCCCTTGATCTCTACATAAACAAAAGGCAGTCTAAATCTAGGACACCCAGGCTTTCCCTCCAGATCATACCGTACAGTAAGTAATATGCAAGTGAGTTGATGGTCCAATGATAAACAAAATGCGATGAAGAGATCACTGAGAATTGTCATATTGTTCACAATGCTGCATAGGAATTTGAAGACACTGAAATTTAATGTAAATTATCAAAGAAAATGCAAGTTTATCTTTTTTTTGTTGTTAAGAAAAAGTCACCAACTTGTATAAGACAGGTCGATCCTGCAGGGCTTCCATTGCCTGAGTTAATACTGGGGATATGTCGCATGATTCCTGTGTCAACATTCTGCATTCACCTGAAAAATAATTAACATTATAACCTTTTTAAAATAAAGCTATTTATTAAACCCACTGTAGAAAGCAATCTAAATTCTATAGTATCACATGAAAAAAACTGCTTGGAAATGCCCAGGGAATATGCTGATCAGACACTAGTATATGCTGCCAGACAAACTAAAATTTTAAGCTTTAGTATTTATGGAATTTTAAATGACCCCATATGCCATCTGGCACAGCCCAAACCTCTATTTTAGTATTAAAACAAAGTACAGTTCTGAAGAAACTGATCAATGAACAAATATTTACTGCTATACACATGGTAGTTCAATGGGGAAGGAGGTATACTAAAAATTACGTTACCTGTTTCTTTCTTCAAAGAATTCTAAAGCACTTGCTAAAAATGTTTATGTGGAAAACTGATACACAATAGTATAATTTTCATTTCAAAAATGTTTGGATTTTATTGTAATTGTCGTAACTATAAAGGTAGAAGTTGTTTAACAAAAAAGGAGAAATAGTTAATCGTACATTCCAAGATCAGAGGACCCTAAGACCATCAAGGGAGAAGAGCACAAGCAGAACACAGGATCCTCTCCAGAGAAGCAGCAACACCAAAGATGGAGACAGAGGTGATGGCATGAAGAGATAAAGCAGCTGAGTACTCTAGACTCATGGAAATATATAGGCTATGTGCTGGCGGCCAGGAGACTGGCTTACAGAATGTGACCTTTGGTTGTTTAAACTATCATATATTCCTGCATGTTTTTGTGTATGTAAAAAAAAAAAAAAAGAAGGAATAGAGGCAAAAACCGATGTTCTTCCATGTAAACTATCACTCAATTCAAATAAAAGCTTTAAAAAAAAATTTTTTTGGATTTTAAACTCTTTTTAAAAGTCTCTATGCCTACATTTTATTTTACTATTCAAATTGTCATAAAAGAGCTCTTCAGGTGTTAAAGAGTAAAAATTTCACTGACCAAAGTCATGGTATTCTCAGTCAGCTCACATGGAGTCCTGGCGTGGCACTGAAGGACAGCGCTGGACTACAAACTTCAAGGTTGATGGTTCAAATCTACCATCAACTCATCCAAAACCTTATACAGGGTGGTTATGAGTAGGAATATGAGTAGGAATCCACTCTACAGCACTTAAAAACAACAACATATGCATGCTGAACAATAAGGAAAACCTGAGAAGAATCGATGCATTCAAATTTTGTGCTGGCGAAGAATACTGACAGTACCCTGGACTGCCAGAACATACAAATCTGCTTTTAAGAAATGCATCCTTCAGAAGCTTCCTTCAAAGAAAAGATGTCTCACATACTCTGGACATGAGATCAAGAGGGACCAGTCCCTGAAAAAGGACATCATGCCTGACACAGTAGAAGGTCAGCAAAAAAGAGGAAGACCGCTCCACCTAGATGGACTGACAGAGTGGAAGCAAAAATTGGCTCAAACATGACAAGTGCCAGGATGGCACAGGACTGGGCAGTGCTTTCATTCTGTTGTGCATAAGGTGCCTGTGAGTCAGAACTGAGTTGACGGCATCTAACAACAACACAAATTTGAATTTTATCCATAAAATACTTACTAAGTGCCTATCTCTGTATGACAAGCTCTGTGTGATAGACTGTGAGTCATAAGGTCAGAAGTTCAAGTCCACCAGGCTCCTACAAAGATTTACAGCCTTGGAAACTCACAGGGTCACTATAAGTTGGAATCCACTCAACAATACTTAACAAAAAAATAACAAGTGCCTATTATGTTTTTTAAAACTTAGAACCTGTTTGGAAATTTCTAACTTTTTGATATTTGAGAAATTCATACTAAGGGTATATCTAACTGACAGAATAGCATGCATGTACGTGTGGGAGGAGAGAGATCTTAAAATGATTCCACAGTCCTAGGAGTCAGAGGTCCAATGTTTAGAACCATTACTCTTACCTTAATACAAGGTGGCGTGCTACTAGAGATACGGCTAATTAAGTGTTTCTAGCAGAAAGTGTTCAGAGCTGGGAAAAGACTTTCAGTGTAGTCATGGAAAGTTCCTCAAGGGTTGAGATATGACTTGGACATAGAGACAGCCAGACAACAGTCCCAAGGGGAGAAAACAGTATGAACAATAGAAAAAGGAATAGCTTTCGAAGAAAAAGTTGTTGTTGTTGTTGTTGTTGTTGTTGTTGTTGTTGTTGTTAGGTGCCATCGAGTTGGTACCGACCCATAGCGACCTTATGCAGAGCAGAACAAAACATTGCCTGATCCTGGGCCAACCGCACTACTGTTGCCACGCTTGAGTCCGTCCATGCTGCCACTTGGCTAATCCATCTTGGTAGGGATCTTCCTCTTTTTCTCTGACCCTCCACCTTACCAAACATGATATCTTTCTCCAGTGCCTGGTCCCTCCTGACAATATGTCTGAAGTATGAGAGAAGAATTTTGGCCATAATGGCATCCAAGGAGCACTCTGGCTGCACTTCTAAAATGGATCTGTTGGCTCTTTTGGCAGCCCGTGGCACTTTCAATATTCTCTTCCAACACCATAACTCAAAAGCATCAATTCTTCTATGGTCTTCCATATTCACTGTCCAGCTTTCACATGCATATGAGGTTACTGAAAATACCATGGATTGGGTCAGGCACACCTTAGTCCTCAAGCTGACATCTTTGCTCTTTAACACTTAAAAAAGTTCTTGTGCAGATTTGTCTAATGCAGTATGTCATTTGATTTCTTGACTGCTGCTTCCATGAGTGTTGATAGTTGATTCGAGAAGAATGAAGTCCTTGACAACTTCAATCTTTTCTCCATTGATAAGAATGTTTATTGGTCCAGTGGTGAGGATTTTTGTTTTCTTTACATTGAGATGTAATCCATACCGACATCAGTAATTAAGTCCTATTCACTTTCAGCAAGCAAGGTTGTATCATCTTAAGTCAATATGGGCTCCTGGTGTGGCACTGTAAGATAACCACAAGTTTGTTGTTGTTAAGTGCTACTGAGTTGGTTCCAAATCATAGCAACTTGTATAGGGTGCCGAATGAACGGCTGGTGAGAGTTTGAACCTCCGACCCTGCTGCCCTTTAAAAACAGATGTGGCTGGTAAAAGATTTAATCAGAGACATAAGCCTGAAAAACAAGCAGGAAAGATTCAGAGCTTAAGAGAAACTGACCCTCTATGGCAGACTTAGAAGATAAAAGAAGAAAGCCACAAGTCAAAGAATGCTCTAGAAGCCTGGGTAAGACCTCAGCTGACAGCCAGCAAGGAAACTGGAACCTCAGTCCTAAAACATCAAGAAACTAAGTTCTGCCAACAATCTGAATGAGCAAGGAAATGGAGGCTTCCTTAGAACCTCCAGAGGGAGCACAGATCTGCCAACCTATTGTCTTTAACCTATTGAGCCTCATGTCAAATTTCTGACCTACAGTTGAGAAGTTAATAAATCTGGGTGGCTTTAAGCTGCTGAGTTTGTGGTGACCTATTATTGCAGCAATAGAAAAGTAATACATCATTTATAATTGTTGTTGTTATTAAGTGCCAATGAATTGGTTCTGACTCATGGCAACTCTGCGGAGGGTTTCCAAGGTTGCGTACATCTTTGCTGGAGCAGAAATCCTCATCTTTGTCTCAAGGAGCAGCTGCTTAAACTGCCGACCCTGTGGTTTGCAGGCCAGTGTTTATACTGCAAAGCCAGAGTGCTCCCATCCTTCATAATCCTGTTGTACTTGTCAAGTGCTGTAGAGTTGGTTTTGACTCATGGAAACCTGTATAGGGTTTCAGGAGTGGCTGATGAGTTTGAACTGTCAACCGTGTAGTTCAAACCAGTCTTGCAGTCCTCCAGTACTTTATCCCACAGCACACAACAGTACGCCCTCCTTTATAATATAGTTATAAAATAACAAGACATGCCAGGGAATTTTAAGTAATCCAGGGCAGAAATACTATCTATATATTTTTTTATTCCCATCCTTAATTAACTGTAGTGCTTGGTTGATAGTTATGTGCCATTGTGTTGGTTCCGACTCATAGCGATCCTGTAGGGGTTTCCAAAGAGCAACGAAGCACAATCTATTCAAACACAAAAGGTTTTTTAAAATACTTTTTAAATACTAAGATAAAAATATAAAAAGAAAGATCAAGTGAAATTTAAAAATCAATTTCTAGCATTTATGAATTCATACCACATGAAAAAAATCTAACTTACTTTGAGCCCATCGGTAAAGTCTTTCATAAGCTGTTTCTTGAAGCAAGGCCATCTGTTCCATAATTTCTAAACTATAAACATTTTAAAGATTCATTACAATTTAAACTTAGCCAACAGCTACATCTAAGCACCTAATGAGCTTGTTTGATTACAGAATGATTTGGTTATACTATATTAACTTCTTATTGTATGAAATGACTTATGAATGTTATTTTCAATGGAATAAATGTCTTCAAATTTCAACATCATTACTTATTTATCTAACTGCTGTTTTACTTTAAGGTTGTTACATTAATCTTCTCCTTATCCAAAGGTAAATAAAGATTAAACTCTTAATTCACAACTGTCAAGCACTTTAAAAATAACATATATTGATATTATATAAGGGGCAATGCAATTACTTCCAAAAGGTTACTCACCCTGCAGTTTGTTGGTTTGTGCGCAAGAGAACTTTCACATCATTATGAATCTGTTTTACTCTTCCCAATGCTTTGAAGAAATCCTTCAAAATTAAGGACATGACTTTAAAATTCCTTTTTTTTTTTTTCCAGATAAAAATACATTAACTGAAATTTTACTACAAAAGGATAATAAATTATGTCACCTATTCTAATGAAATGGACCTCTGGTGTGGTGCTGTAGGATAAGTACTGGGCTGCTAACTAAAAAGTTGGAGGTTCAAACCCACTAGCTAGTTGTTCCTTAGAAACACTATGCAGGGTCACTATGAGTTGGAACCAACTCAATGGCACACAAAAACATTCTAATGAAGCCTCCCTATACTGATCTTATAAAAGGTAAAATATGTATTATGAAATATGCATTAATACTAATTTTAAAACAGATTAATTCAATGCCTGTGGTGCTGTAGGATCAGCAGTGGACTGCAAATCACAAGGTTGGTGGTTCAAACCCACGAGCTGCTCCTAGGAAACCCTATACAGGGTCACAATGAGTCATGATCAACTCCACGGCACTTCACAACAGAAACATTATTTGCCAGAGAGTGCTAGATGCCAGGGGCACAAAGTTAAATAAATAAATATGTGTATATATAATCCCTGTCCTCAAGAAGCATACAATCTAGTGAGAAAGAAATGCAAACCTAAAGATAATTATAGAAAGCAAAATGTACAATGCATTACATATTTCAAGATATAATTATACACAGCATTCTTATCACCCAAAACAATGTTTTATATATCTTTTTTAGAATTGGACATCTGAAAAACTCATTATATATAGAAGTTGGCTGATGCTAAACATCAAATTTATTCTTTTCCTTTAGCAAAATGTACTGGAACCTTATAGCTTCCAGATAGCCGCAAATAAGGTTCCAAACGTGAAAATCATGTTGTTGTTGTTTTTAATATACGATATGTTATTCAGAGGGACCAGTTCCTAGAGAAGGGTATCATGCTTGGATACCTTATGAAAAAGATGAAGACCCTCAATGAGACAGATTAACACTAAGCCTGAAACAAGGAGATCAAACATGGTAATAGTTGTGAGGCTGGCACAGGACCAGGCAGTGTTTTGTTTTGTAGTGTCTGGGGTCACTATGAGTCAGAATTGACATGACAGCACCTAACAACAAAGCCAGAAACCTTTTCTACTTTCTTACAAGTGGACACAGGGTGAGATGACAAGTATTTCAAATGTGCAACATTCCTTGAAGGGTAAGGGAAGTAAGTACTAATAAATCATATATCCCTACCAAATCCACTCAGCAATTAATTCCCACACCCAGGTAATCGGTCCCATTCTTGCCTGCTGCTGCTGCTATGTGCCACCGAGTCAGTTCTGACTCACAGCAAGTCTGTATAGGGTTTCTAAGGCTTATTATAAACATTTATGGGAGCAAAAAGCCTTATCTTTCTGTTGTGGAGCAGGAGACCTTGAAGATAGCAGCCCAATGCATAACCACATAAACTGTATACTGCCAGTGTTCCTTCCATTCTTATCTGTAGATGTTGAGTCAGTTCATACTCATACTGACCCTATATCAGATTTCCGAGGGGCAGTTGGTGGGTTTGAACTGCTGACTTTTTGGTTAGTAATCCAGTGCTTATCTTTACAACACCCCACCATGATTCTTGGTAAGACAATAGCGGTACCTTTCAAACGATGCTCAGAATGGCCCATAGACAGGGACACAGACATGGAGGGTGAACCGTCCAGCTGATATATGAAGTGAGGGAAGACACACAAGAACACCCAAACTTGCTGAAGTACCCATCTGACCTAGCCTCGATGGTTTGATAATCAGAACTCAACTAGAAGAAGATTTAAGAAAACCATTTTTGATAAAGGAAATGGGTATAATTTGCTACAATTTGATGAACTTGACCTATACTTATGGATGTAGTAGCTCAAAATACCAACAGAGAGGGAAGGAGTCTTCCCATCAAAGTATCAATCCTACCCCCTCTGTATACAGGGTAGCTAGGGATGGGCAACTTAGACATTGGCTACCTAAAATGAGGGGGTGATAAAGGCACGAAGGGACTGGCTTACAAGTTTTCAAGAGGGAGTTTAGCTTAAAAGTGTGCAGAGGAAGATAGAGACTCCACTGAATAGTTTTCATCTTGTCTAGACATGTCTGGTGAACAGAAATGGAGATAAGATTCTTATGATTCAATAGTGAGTTACTGTTGTCATGACTAATTGTGACTGTCACAACTGTAAAGGTAAAAGCTTTATAACAAAAACGGGGTAGTAGTTAATCTTACAGACCAGAAACAGAGGACCCTAGACCATCAAAGGAGAAGAGCACATTTGGAATGAAGGGCCTTATCCAGAGAAACAGCGACACTAAAGATGGAGGCAGAGATGAAGACATGGAGAGAAGGAGCAGTTGAGGACTCTGGACTCATGGAAAGAGAGGGACTGGGTACTGGTGGCCAGGAGGCAAGCTTGCAGAATATGTCCTTTGGTTGTTTAAAGGATTATATATTCCTGAGTGTTTTTGTGTACATCACCCCCTACCCCCCTAAAAAAAAGAAAACAAAGGGAATGGAAGTAAACACTGTTGAATGATGATGCACAGAGGAGATTGTAATTGCAATGAAATGGTGTAAAGCCAATGTTCTCCCATGTAAACTATCACTCAGTTCATAAAAAAAAAAAACTTAGAAAAAAAAAGATGCTCAGAATGATGTCAGTAGGCTTAGATTTACACTCCATCCCAGTTAGGAGTTCAAAGAATTCCTCTAAATGTCTTCAATAAAAAAGAAAGAAATTAAACACTTCCCTCATATTAAGAGGTTTATAGCTCTGCCAGTGAATTTGAAAAGAATAATGATTTTTAAAAAATCAATGAGATTAAAGATTCACATTTCTAATTCTAAGAAAAACAAAAGTTGAAACAGAAAGAACGTGTATTCATTGTACTGTCCACAGAAAATGTTAATATGAGGAATACTATGAGGAATGAAGATGTGTGAATGTATGAATATTTGTATTGGAAGGAAAGAACAGAGGAAGGTAAGAAACGAAATCCTCATATTTCAGGATAGATAGAAAATCCACTTAAAAATTTAACATAATCATAACATATTCTTTTTACCAATTAGATCTACAACATAGAATAAGAAAAAAAAAAAAAAAAGGCAATTAGCAACACTGCAAATGGTTGCTAAAGGTTAGCGATGGATGGGGAGGAGTGGAAGTGTTTTTAATGATAAGCCTTGCAGAGTGCACTTTCTGATTTCTAAAAACAATGCATGTGTTACTCTGAATAAGAAGAAGACCTTCATGGAGACTGAGTGACTGGATGGCATCAAACAACAATTAGTTCAAAAATAAAAATGGAAACATTCATTTAAAATATATACCACTTTATTTTCAAGCAAATATATAATTTTAAAATATTTTTAGATCTATAGCTTTTGTTTATCAGATGTGAAAATAAAGCCTTCACGGATTTATTTCCCCACAGATCTGTAAGAGGTATGCTTTAAACCAAAATGACAGAACGCAGGATACCTCAGTAATAGGTCCCTCTCTCAAGCCTCGGAGAACATTCATTTCATCAGGTGTCAGCTGGAACTTGGATAAGAAGGCATCTGCAACTTGTGCTCTTATTTCTAATCTTTGACTATAACAAAACAAAACAATAAATCAAGCATGTTATACATTTGCATAACTTTAAAACAAATTCTATCTCCATGGAACAAAGAACTTAGTTTGGCCCTTTGACTCTGGTTTGTGAAAATAGCCTGGACAATTTAGGTGCTATCTTTCTAAAGCAGCCTGGTAAGTAAAGGATGCAGAAGCCCCGTTCTGAGAGAATTAACTTCAGGAAAGGGGCTAGGGGGTGGTAATATAATTACACATATTCACTGACTGGGTAGATCATTACTAAGCATGAAATCCCAAGTCATGCATATTCACTGAGATGCCAATGGCTAGGGGTGTTGGGACCTTGGAGTGCTCTCTGACGCTTCAAGGATTAGTGAGAACACCTATGCTGCATGTCCCTGGGGACAATGGAAGCCTGTGGTGCTGGGAACTCTGCCAGATCACATCTGATACATCTTGTCATCTGTGTCCTTTTTAACTATAAGTATAGGTGACCATTTCCATGAGTTCTGAGTCATTCTCATGAATTATCAACTCAACCAGGGGCAGTGAGAACTAGCAGAGAGAAAGCCTGGCATGTGCCTATTTGGCTTGAAGAACAAAGTCATAACCTGACTTTATGAGTGGTTGGTGTTTACAAGACAGTGACAACAGAATGCTACAATGAGAAAGTGAGGATACAAGTTTTCCTCACACTTTGGGAATTAGCCTTATGTTGGCTACTATTCATACAGCCTCTGACTAAACTACTTCTAAAATTAAGATGTGGTAGACCCTCCATGCCTTCTACTAAAGCTTTGATTCTACCTTAAATACTGGCTGATAAGATTAGCGGACACTGTTTTACTTCAGATACTTTCACAGAGTAAACGGAGTGCCAAAGGAAGAAATATATGCACAGATGGCCAGTGTGTTACAATCCACAGTCATGGACATGGACTTGAGTCATTCACCTTGTAACAACAAGGCTAGTTACAGGAAAGAAATATATGCACAAATGGCCTCTGTGTTACAATCCACAGTCATGGACATGGACTTGAGTCATTCACCTTGTAACAACAAGGCTAGTTACAGGAAAGAAATATGTAGCTGCTTTCCTTTAATTTCCTCTCAGTGCAATACAGTACACAATAGCTAAAACTTATGTCTACTGTTTGGTATTCTAGCTTGGAAACAGAAATCAAGAGCATAGTTACTAACTCCTCAATAAGGTATAAATCACTTCTCCACTTTTTCTACATACTTGTGGCACTGAAGGACAAGCACAGGAATGAAAGGCCAGTTTGAACCGCAAGGTCCTGGGGTTCAAACTCATCAGCCACTCCTTGGAAACCCAATACAGGTCACTACAAGTAGAAACCAACTTGATGCCACTAAACAATAGTCAAAAGAAAATTTTAAATCTTTTAAATTATACTATTTGAATACAGTCCATCTAAACTAACTGTTAGGGAAAGGCACAGTCTTGTTTAAAATACAAATTGCAAGGACCAAGAGAACGACTAGGCCCAGTCACCATCTAAACACAAGTTAGGAGCACTAGCTCACTATCTGCCTAATCACAAACCGCAGGAGAAATGAAAACTTGTCACTCTGTCAGACCTGAAGATATATAAAGAAAATTACTTCATTAGTATTATTCACAGAATCAAACGCCCTGACTGAACTACCCAGAAAGCAGCAACAGAAGTCCTCCAGATGGCAGTAATGTTGTGCTCATTACAAATGATAGTCTCCTAAGTAAACTGATGCAGATTTCAGTGACATATGTCCTTATCTTATTGATTTCAAAAGTTACAACAATAGACTTAGTTTTATAGTCCAAAAGCTCCAAGTACAAGGTTTAAAGTAAGTAAAAAACAACAACTTTATAGATTTCCTTAGCACTATACTTATTAGCCATTTCAACTAAACCTTTTGGAAACTTTTTTTGAATTGAGCATTAAAATTAATTAATTTATGGCACAGGAAAATTGGGGTTTTGGGTTTTTGTGTGTGTGTGTATGTGTTTCACAGTTGCATTTTTTTTTTTAACTAAAACTAGTATGACACATATTAATCATATCGCTTAAGCATTAAAATTCATTCCAAATAATATGGCTGACAGTATATTAAAATCTATCCATGAAATAAAGACACAGAACCAAGAGTTTTATAGCTACCAAAGAATGGTCCAAAAATATTTTTAACAATGATCATGAGTTAAAAAGTTTATGGAAAAATTTCACTACCATTCAAATTTTATTTTTCTATTAATTTTTGGAAGTAGTCTGTCTTTCTATTTTTAAAACAAAGGTTTGGTATCTCAAGATAACAAACTTTAAGGATGTGATTAGATAAAGTCTACTCTATTTTTATGAAGTCCTGGTGTGGCCATGTAGGATAAGTACTGAACTGCTACCTTCAAAGTTGACAGTTCAAACCCACCAGTCCCTCCTTGGAAACTCAACAGCACTTAACAACAACATTTTATTTTGCAAATCACTTTTAGTTTTACTTCATATACTCTTTCCAGGTAAATGTTCACCATCATTCTGACAGAAAATCAGTTTTAAATAGTCTAATGGCTTGGGAGTATTCACACATTCAACTGATGCTAGTGGGGAGCTACAATGCGTAAGTGTGATGTAGTGAATTATTTAATGTCTATTCTAACCACAGTGTTTGTAGACTCCCACCAAGCAACATTTTCATGATGGCTCTGAGTAAGACAGAGTGGGAGAAGACACTGATAGGGAAAATGAGTCATCTCAGAAGCAGAAGGGGGAATCTCACTACCATCAAAGAAGGGCTGGAAGTCGAGTGTGTCCTTTGGACATCAAGATCCCCACGCAATGACCTCCTTGATGCAGGGACAGAAAGCTGTGATACCAAGTAAGGGGAGACACACAATAACACCCAAACTTGAAGATAGTACCCATCCAACCTAGCTTCAATGGCTTGATAATCAGAACTCCCACTAGAGGAAGATAAAAAAAAAAAAAAAAAAAAAATTTAAATGATAAAGAAAGGAGTGTAAATTGCTACAATTTGATGAACTTGACCTGTACTTATGGATGTAGTAGCTTATAATACCAACAAAGAGGAAAGGAATCTTCACATTAAGTATCAATCTGTCTCCTCTGTATACAGGGTTGATAGGGACGGTCAACTTAGACATTGGCTATCTAAAAATGAGGGCATGATAAAGGCAAGAAGTGACTGACTTACAAGTTTTGAAGAGGGAGTCTAGCTTAAGAGTGTGCAGAGGAAGGTAGAGACCCCACTGAATAGTTTTCATCTTGTCTAGATGGGTCTGGTGAAAAGAAATGGAGATAAGATTTTTATGATTCAATAGTAATTGTTGTCATGACTAACTGCGACTGTCACAACTGTAAACGTAGAAGTTTTATAACAAAAGCAGGGGAGTAGTTAATCTTACAGTCCAGAAACAGAGGACACTAGGACCATCAATGGAGAAGAGTATGAGCGAAATATGGGACCCTATCCAGAGATACCGTGACACCAGAGATGGAGGCAGAGATGAGGACATGGACAGAGGGAGCAGTTGAGGATTCTGGACTCATGGAAAGAGAGGGACTGGGTGCTGGTGGCCAGGAGGCAGGCTTGCAGAAAATGTCCTTTGGTTGTTTAAAGGATTATATATTCCTGAGTGTTTTTGTGTACATCACCCCCCCACCCCTCCCACCCCCAAAAAAACACAAAGGGAATGGAAGCAAATACTGTTGAACAACGTTGCAGAGAAGAGATTGTAATCATCGCAATGAAATGATGGTGTAATGCCAATGTTCTCCCATGTTAACTATCATTCAGTTTCACAATAAAAAACTTTTTAAAAAATGTTTGGAAACAAAACAAACATTTAGAATCCTGAGATACATTTTACTTCATTCCATAATTCATTGATTCCAACACTGGGCCCAATCATTTCAAGGATTCTCAGAATAAATTTTAAAGGAAATAAATAGTTTCTATTAAAAGGCTATTCTCACCTTCCCTCTGTACAGTGTTTACAGAGATGGGCAATTTAGACACTCACTACCCAAAATGGGGGGAGGGGGTGCAACAAAGGCACAACCTGTCTAGATGGAGATGGTGAGAGGAAATAGGGTAAGACTCTTGTGGTTCAATAGTGAATAATTGCTATCAGGACTGACTGTGAATGTTGCAAATGTAAAGGTGGGCATTTTGTAACAAAAGGAAGGGAATGGTTGATCTTGCAGCCCAGGAACGGAGGACCCTGGGACCATCAAGGGAGACGAGCAGAGTGCAGGACCCCATCCAGAGAAGTAGTGATGCCAGAGATGGAGGCAGAGATGAAGACATAGAGCAATGGAGCAGCTGGGGACCCTGGACTCAAGGAGGGAGAGGGGCTGTGTGCTAGTGGCTGGGGGTGCTGGCATTCAGGACATACCCTCTGGTTGTCTGGATGGTTATATATTCCTGAGTGCTTCTGTGTACGTTCAAAATAAAAAACAAAAACAGAGGAATTGGAATGAAAGCAAATGCTGTTGAAAGATGATGCATGGAGAGAATTGAAATCATTGCAATGAAACAAAATATGACAGGATGAATGTAAAGATGATGCTCTCCCATGTAAACTATCACTCAATTCACAATAAAATAAAATTTAAAAAGACTATGAAAAAGTTGCATATGAGATTATGGTTGTTGTTGTTACGTACCGTGCAGTCGGTTCCGACTCACAGTGACCCTGCACAGGGTTTCTGAGGCTGTAAATCTTTACGGGAGCAGAGAGCCTCATCTTTCTCACATGGAACAGCTGGTAGTTTCGAACTGCCGATCAATGGTTTGAGCCCACCAGTCACTCTGTGGGAGAAAGAAGAGGCTTTCTACTCCTACAAGGATTCACAGCCTCAGAAACCCTATACAGGGTTGCTCTGAATTGGGACCAATTTGATGGTACTTAACAACAGAGCCTGTGGCTATATAATCCCTGTCTATTCTACAAGTGTTACTGTTAGGTGCAATTGAGTTGATTCTAAAGCATCGGTA